GAGGATGCAAATGCCGTTGGGAGCGCTGAGAGGTGCACTCTCTCATCACTTCCAGGCGGAATGACCTCTACGGCACCACCAGAGGGACGCATTTGCGCCTTCCACTGGGTCACCCACGGCATGCCTAGTATTAAGTCGTGGTGAACAGGTCCAACGTAGACGTCCCTAGTCATAGGAATGTGCCCTGCTTTGGAGCTGATGGAGCATTTTACGCTCATAGTTTTGCCGATTCTACTATCCTGCCTGCCATCTGCGAAGCGTAGGCTCAGAGATTGTGCCAACGAGTAGACCGGCAGGCTGCATCTCCTTGCTGCGGCTTCCGATATCATATCCACTTCACATCCCGTATCGAGTAGGGCCATAAAATCCTGCCCCTTTATTCGTACTTGTACAAGTACTGAATTGACTCGAGGTGGGTCTGTAGGTGCGGCCGTTATCTCGCTTGGCCCCTTCGCTGCGCCGCACGTTGCGTAGGGGCCCGGGCGTTTCCCTGCTTGCTCTGTTCGTTCCCTTGGCGGCTCTGTTCGGGATTTGGCTTCAGTTGTTCCCTAGCCTTTTTCACAGGCCGGCAATCTCGAAATCCGTGACCCTGTTTACTGCAAAAGAAGCAGGTACGCCTTTCAGAGTCTCCCTCTTGCTTTCTGGGTGCTGAGGTCGCCGTCAGCTGACGGTAGCCGCCTCCAGCCCCGTGATTAGCTGGCTTGGTGTTCGCAGGCCCAATATCCATTGGTTCCAAATCGGGATCATTCCCAGGCCCGCTTTCTTCCTTTTCGGCTAAGGCTGTGGAAGTAGCGGTTTTCCTTTCCAGTCTGCGGAGGTACTCCATCATGTCAGCGAGTTCCGCTTTTTTGGCCCTCAATTCCCTGTCCGTGGCCAAGGCGATTACTGTTTGCCTCACTCCGGGGAGCAGCCCCGCTATAAACTCCGCATCCACCATAGGACTTCGGTTCACCAAGGACTGGTATTTCTCAATATAGCACTCCATTGACAGTTTTCCCTGCTTAAGCTTTCTCAGTTCCGCCATAGCCTGCCCCCTTGCGGACCTCGGAATAAACCTGCAACGTAGGCCTGCATGGACCAGATGTGCTCTGGGAGAGTGGAGCCGTTGCTTAGGTGTAGCCACCATCGCCGCGCGTCCTCTTCTAACAAGGAAGCGGCCAGGACTAGTTGGAATTCTTCTGGGGCATTTTGTATTCGGAGGTATAAGTCTAGTAGGTTAAGGAACTCCTCTACAGCCTCTGCATCCCTCCACCCATCATATCGCGTAGGACGACACAACGGGAGGCACTCCTCTTGAATCGTTTTTGGCGGGAATGCATTTTCTCCGGAATTGGATGCCGAAATGGAGCTGGCCCCCGCTTGCTGTGGTTCCAGACCGTACGTCGACCCCCCCTCTGTGAGTTACCCATATTCAACCTCCATTTTGCTGAGGAGAACACTGAAATTGGGAGAGATTTTGTCAACAAAGGAAATGGGTTTTATTTCAATATAAATAAACGGACAACATGAATTTTATTTATTCTGCGATCGTTTTTTTTTTCAGCAATGCTTGTGCACGTAAGGAAGCTTCAGCGAAGCTTCCTTACGTGCACGCGTGGGGGAGCTTCAGCGAAGCTTCCTTTGCTGCATACTTTACCTCTGAACGTAGTTGTAGAACGTTTGCAAGCGTTTATACGCAACGTGCCAAAACCAGGTGAAACCTTGTGCGCTAACTCATGCTACATATAACGCCTACTCTCTGGCTTTAAGCTAGCTGCAATGTAGGCAAGAGTTTCCGCAAAGCAGCTGACATCTTTCCCCTGTCCTCAGGCCTTCTGCACGTTGAGCTCAGGGCCTGGGTATTGCGGGGAGGAGGCATCCTGAAATGGGGTTCCAGCGCAGCTCGCTGTGGCTGGCTATGCAGCCAGCCTCACGCGCGCACGCACGGAAGCTTTAACGCAACTTCCTTTTCTGCGTGATTTACCTCTGAATGTACATGTAGAACGTTTGCTTTTGCCTTTGCCTACAGGCAACCTACCAAGGCCAAATGAAAGCTCCTGTGCTAATGCTACAGGCACCGCGGCAATTGTCGCCGCCGAAACTCCTGCTGCAAGACAACCCCATATTCATCGGTGCCCAAGACCCCATTTTATGTATGTATTAACACTCTATGCAGTTGTTAAACGCTTAGTTTTTCGTCAGTGGGCCTCTCGTACATAGGCAGAAATACCCGTACCAGCACCAGACAATACGGAACTGCAGACCGCGGCGAATATTGAGGAACGGACCAACTTATTTTGCTGTCGTAGCGGCTAAGATTCAAGCAAATGATTGTTGAAAGTTTTCAAAGCGGGAATTTCTTGGATCTACACATTCAGCAAACCGCAGCGCGGGGATCGTTAGAGGCTGCGATCGTGTCGTGAGCGGTAAGCCCGAGAGATGCAGCACTTGAGAACTGACGAGTTTCGAGTCTAAGAACAAATCCTGTCAAATTAGTTCTCGTTCGTAATAGCCATAAGCAATTGTTTTCTCTGTCAGTAGTTTTTGAGAAAGAATTTCGTGAGGCCCACACAAGTTGCATCGCCGGGTTGCAGGTTGGCTCTTCGGCTGCCCCCTTCCTTCCTTATCATTCTCTGTTCATTTTCGCGGAGTTATTCGCTTGAAAATTAGCAGTATTTTTGAACGATCTGCTTCTGAACCGTTCATTTATCCTCGAAATGTATTGGGGGTTCCCAGCAGATCGACATCCCTCCAAGCGAGCAGCCTAGGAGGGGTATATTGGCATCTGCGCGTTCGTGGGTTTGCTGCGTTGGATGCTCCTCCGTGCGACTTGCGTTACTGGGACAATGAAGAGCAAGAAGCGGTTGTCTTATATGCGTGGCATACGCAGGTGTTTCTTGTTGCTTTTGGCCCTCTGGCTTGTGGAGCAGCAAGATGTGTACTCATCACGGGCATCAAGAAAAAAACCCGCCGGAGAGAATGCGGAATTGGAAACCGCCAGAGGAGTTAAAAGCGATGCGGTGGCCAGCTTATATGCAGAACTGGTTGCCCAGCAAGAAACAACCGGTACCCAGCTGGCAACTGTAATTCTTACAAAGCATCGAGGCCACGTAATTGCTCTCGTTGTGCTGTTCTTAATCTTAATAAGGGCAATTATACTTCGCAGGGAGAGAGAGCGCGAAAAGATTGTTGAAGAAGCAGTTAAACCCCCCCGAGAGGAACCCCAACCGAAAGACGAAGCAGGAGGAGAAGAAGGAAAAGCAGAAGAAGAAAAAGAAAAAGAAGAGGAGCACGCAGAAAAAGAGAAAGAAAAATCAGAAGAAGAAAAAGCAGAAGACGCAGAAAGAGAGGAAGAAGAAGAGGAAGAAGAAGAAGAAGAAGAAGAAGAAGAAGAGGAAGAAGAAGAAGAGGAAGAAGAAGAAGAAGAAGGTGAAGAGGAAGAGGAAGAGGGAGAAGAAGATGAAGGAAAAGAAAAAGATAAGGAAAAGGAAAAGGAAGAAGAAGAAGAAAAGGAAAAAGAAAAGACAGAAAAAGAAGAAGAAGAGGAAGAAGGAGAGGAAGAAGAAGAAGGAGAAGAAGAAGAAGAAGAAGAAGCAGAAGAAAAGCCTGTTCTAGAAGATGAATATCCACTGGAGGAGGTAGTTTTGCAGCCAGAGGAACCTCCCAAAGAAATACCTCTGCCACAAATGCCTATACCACAAATGCCCGTGCCGATACCGGGTCTTAAACCAACAGCTGAAGCTCCACCTGAAAAACAACCAGAGGATCCTGGTGGCGATGGAATACCAGATGATGAATTCATAGAGAGGCCGATAACTCGTTCGAGGACTCGAAAGGACTTTCTCCGGAAGGAGGTGCCTCCTCTCCAGGCCCCTACCCAGGTGCAGCCAGGTACTGAAGAGGAAGAGGAAGAGGAAGAAGAAGAGGAAGAGGAAGAGGAAGAGGAAGTGGAAGAAGAAGAACCTTTCCAACAACTGCCTCAGCCACCACTTGTAGAGCCTACTCTAATACCACCTACCTGGCCGCAGCTTAGAGAACAACCAGTGCCAGTTCCAGCGCCTGGCGTGCCAGAAGTAGCGTATGTGACGCCTCCTGTCCCTCCAGCAGTCGTCACTGTACCGCCCCACGAAGTCCCACAACCCACACCTGTTGCGCGGGTCCCGGACGATGGGGAAATGCAAAGGTTAAGGGCTCGGCGGAGCCTCGTCAGCAGTCTGGTGGACGTTGCGACCAGGATGGTAGATGAACTTCCGGGAGATCAGGCACAAAATATTCTTAAGGAATTAAAGAAGAAGTTGCGAACTGTTGAAAGGGCAGAAAAGGAGTACGAAACTGCAGAGGGTCGCAGCGATCCAAACCTTCCAAGCATTCGGAATAAGACCATCCATGTAATAAACTCATCCATTGAAGGCTCCCGCACTGATCTATTGCAGTTGGTAAATATGGCAAAAGTGCACGGTGAGCGAGTGTATGCGCGCTGCTCTGAGAGGCATTTTCTTACGAATGTCGAGCATTTACGGGAGCAACTGGAGAAATGCCGAGAAATAACACCGGTTAAGGTGTCTATAGAGACTCTGGGTTTTGTTGGAAATGTCTCTGTACCTCTGAAACGGGAGAATGATGAACAGCTTAGGATCTTGAGGTCAGCACAATTCGTAGACGAGTACGAGCCGCATTCTTTCGTGGATATTTACACATCCATTGCTGCCATGAACTTTAGAACGGCAGTCATCGAGCGCTTGGCTGCGCTGGACAAAGCACTGAAAGAAGATATTCTAGAGTTCCAAAAGATTTGGATGAAGGGGATGCTTCAGGTCAAACGGATACCGCTCGAGGCGGATGCAAAGTTGGTTCAGACACTTCATATGCTATTATCAAAGAGTCGCCGAACGCCTCCAGGGCAGTCACCTTCTGGAATAGCAGAAGCAGATATACAATCCATCAGAGAGATGTTTGCTCAGCAAGATGAGCATCTGCAAGCTCTGGAGACTGCTCAGGACTACAAGGGTGTTTCCATTGCGTACCAACATGCGAAGCTGCTCAACGACAAGCTCAATTACTTATTGGAGCCGCAAAAGAAGAAGTTGCATGCAACTCTGGAGCGCG